CGGGATTTGAATTTCCCGGGCTTCATTTGCATAAGCGGGGAGCCGCCATTTTTAAAACCCCGCTGGTTCAAACCCCGTGCAGCGCGGCTACACGGGGCACGAACTAGGTAGTTCGAACTAGGCTTCCTAGTTCGAACTACCGTTACTCCTCGTTACTCCTCTGCGGCTTTGCTCCTGTCTCCCTGCTGTGCTGGGGGGGGCTCCCGCCGCCTGTGCGGCTTTGCTTGGGTCTCCCTGCTGTGCTGGGGAATCCCCCTCAGCACACCAGAGAGACCCGGAGCAGCTTTTCTTGCCCCGGAGGACGCGGTGGCAGGACCACTGCGCTCTGGGCAGACCCGCCGCCCGTGAGCTCCGGGGCGCGAAAAGCCCCGTTCGTAAGTGTGGATCCGACATAAGTCAGATCCGCGTAAGTCGGGGACTGCCTGTACAAAAAAATTATCTTAGATGCTAGATAACCAAAATTATTGCACAGGAAACCAATAAACAAGGTAACAATACAGATAGTAGACTTGCTCATTGTTTTCAAACTCAGAAGTTTACTTAGCTACCAGCACAATAAAATATTAACCTTAGTCCCCTGAGAACAGGAAGAGACATGCTGTTTAAAGATCTGTGATACAAATCTGTGATGTGCTGCCAATGTTTCAAAAAGGGGCCCTCATAAAAATGTTCTCTGTAACTTGTGATAAACCTTATGTCCCACTAGTGTATATACTACAGAGAACAGGCTGGGGGAAAATCTATTCACTTGAATGTAACCAAGAGCTAAGGCAGCAAACAAATCATGTGGCACTTTGCTGGAAGTGTGCACATTTTGTTTCTGAAAAATGCATAAACAACTACAGGATCATAGTATAATGCTCAATTGTACTATTTAAAGAACAGACTCAAGATTTTAGAAATCTTTTTAAAAATACCTGATAGTTAGTTAGTTTCAGGGGGACAGCTGTGTTAATCTGTAAAAACAATGAGTAGTCCTGTGGTACCTTAAAGACGAACAAAAATATATACAGAACCACGAGCTTTCGTGGGCAAAACCCACTTGTGGTGTATCTGATCAACCCAAGAGCAAAACATTTGCTCTTCAAAACAATTTTTGTTAACTACAGGAGCAAATAATCTCTGTCAAACAATACAACAGCATCTGCAGAGGGCACAAATTCCATCAAAGGCAGAAGTATGATCTCAACCTTCTCTTTGATTTGGTGGTAGTGGTGATCCCAGCAGCTTCCTCCAGGATACTGGTACAGACTCTCCATAAAAGAACAGTATGGAGAGAGATTCCTACTCTATATATTTATCTATCTTGCTAAAATGTATGCCTTTGAGTCACTATTATTGGACTGGATTATCATTTCTGATTGATCCCCAATCAATGAGATTCTGGGTGTGGCCTGATGGAGAAATTAAAATGCTTCGCTAATTCATTTCTTCTTTGAAGAAGCACAACATACCAAACTGGTATGACTACAACATTTTAGATGTTTCAGCAATACTTAAGGCTTTTTCAGTCAACGTTTCCATTTACATGAGATTTTGTTTTTGTGCTGCAAGCATATTATACACACTGATTCTTCTCATATCTTCCTCATTCACTCACACATAAAAATGGTTGTTAAAGGAATAATCTAAAAATGCCTTGGGAACAGTAAATTGTACTTAAGGTAAATACTAAACAACAAATTTAGCCTGAAGCCAGGAAGTTTACATTCTCATTTCCCCAAAGTGACTCATGCAACATTCACTGTAGCCTCTGTGATTCGAGGAATTAGACACAAATGCAGTTTTAGAGTGGTGAAGCTCTTACCTCTTCTTCTTTGTAATAATAAGGACATCATTGAAGAGGAAGAAGTACACTTGCTGTTTACAGGTCCTTTTAGAGAATAATCCAGTGTCTTCCACAAATGTAGTTAATTCACCCCTTTTTACTAACCACCGGGAAGAGGAGACCAGTGGAAATGGCTACAAATAAGAAAGCAATGTTTTAATCCTAAATCACAAGCATTTTATCAGAAAAAGGAGTATCAAGATCAGTTGGAAAAATGCATGAATAAACTCAAAATGTAGAAATATGAGTAGACTGAAACTCTCTAGTCTGGCACTCTGTTCTGGCAACATTTGTGGTCTGGTATGATTTGAGTTGGCCACACCTATGATAAATGGACCTGGCTAAGTTTTCTGGCATCCGATAGTTGGTTTACAGCCAACAATCCTTGTTCTTAATGTTATGTGCTGTTCTTTAGCTCTAATTTACCCCTAAATGTCTTTTAAGAGCTCAGTAAGCAGTGTAAGTGTTGGTAATGCTGCTAAACAATATTGACTTCCCCTGGTTCAAGCAAATTCTCTGGTTCAGCACCTGTCAGGTCTAGACGGCATCAGATTAGAGTGGTTCAACCTATATAGGTGTCAAATTAGGACTTCAAGATTCAAAATGATGACAATAAAGGAGAGATTTGCTAATAGTGGATGCTTTAGATGTATTCACTACCTTCTCACTGTATCTGGCAAAACCATTTGAAGAACAAACAGAAGGTGGAATTGAGCACACTGTGAAATGGAGCAAACAGAATATTTCTACTTAATGCAGAACTAAGTGAATGTCTTAAGAAGGGTAGAAATAAAATGGTGTTTGAATAGTCCCAGACCAGTCTCTCTTAGGGATGTGAACAACTAGTCGACTATCTGATAAACAAATGCTTATCGGATAGTCAACTGTCTAGTCAACTAGTTGCTCCCCCACCTCCTTACTGCCTCTATCAGAAAGAGGGGGAGAGCAGGGGGTACTTCAAAGTGGCTGTGCTGCATGAAGCCTGGGGTCTGGCCCCAGACCCCAGGCTCCATGCAGCGCTGCCATTTTGAAATGCCATGTGCACCCCGGGGCCAGCTGGGGTGTTACCAGACTGCATGCAGCATTTCAAAGTGGCAGCACTGCATGGAACCCGGGATCAGCTCGCGACTCCCCCACTGACCCTGGGTTCCGTGCAGCGCTGCCACTTTGAAATGCTGTGAGGAGCCCGATGCCAGGCTCCCCATGGCATTTCAATGCAGCAGTGCCACATAGAGCCCGGGGTCAGCTGGGGAGTCCCCAGCTGATCCCAGGCTCCACATGGTGCTTTTGCCTTTGAAGTGTGGAGGAGCCCTATGGAAAGGAAATTCCTGCAAATTCTGGGATGATGACACTAAGGTCCCATGTGGGGGTCTGGTCTTGAGGATAGTATGCAGACAGGCTTGGAGGAAAATGGATACTCCAAAATGTAACATGCCACTGTTGTTACAAGGTGGACATTGAAAGTTAAACACTAGGCTCAGAATGTAGTTGAGGTCTCTCAACCTCAGGGGCGCTCCTCAGTTTAAATTATGCTAAGTTGCCCATATGGAAAATCTCTTCCATTTAAAGTAGGATTGCCTAGTAATGGTTTCCTTCTCTGTATGAGAATTTCTTGGATCTGTAGAGAGTACCACTGTCTGTCTATAGCCAACATCCAAGCCATTAAGCACAATGACAGTGATTGTGGATTGGGATGCAATACCTGACCATGATTCTGAGATATGACGACTGAATAGGCTGGGAGATATATGGGAGACCAGCTGAATATTTCTAATAGGTCTCACAGACAGAAAGAAGAGCCTTGGCCATTGAGTAAACTTTTTTAGACAAACATTGTAGTTTGGTTAAAATTAAGTCTTGGACGCTGGAAAGCACATTTTTGTTTGCTACGTCTGTTTTTTTCTCTTTTTTTCTCTTGCTTAGTGTCATTTAAATCTATATTCTTTGCTAAAAACCATCTTAGTGCTGTTATACTGAAGAGCAAGTCCTCTGCTAAACTAATAGGTTGGCGTGTAAACCGTCTCTTCGGAGGCAGCAAACTTTAACATTTCTGGGAGTGACCAGTGAGGGGGACTGGTCCCTGGAAAGCGACATCTCTGGAGAAGTCAGGAACGGGCACCCACTTACTGCTGTCTGTAAGGCAACGTTCAGACTCATACTCTCTCGAGAAATCAGGTGATAAGGAAGGGAGCTGACTCAGAGTTTGAAGCTTCAACACAACTCTCTTCCTCAGGCAGTGAGGTAACACAGCAGCTTACAGTTCTGGGTGCCCTGAAGAGAGCGTATCACACAAGATAGTCACTGATACCTGGAACGTACCACATCAATAGGATTTACCTCCTGCTGTTGACACCATCTCCACAGCCTGATGGCTTCTTGGGAAAGAGGTGATAAATGAATGCTTCCTTGCTTGTTTCTAACAGTGCATGGAGGAGGTGCTGTTTGTGAAGGTCTCCCCTCAGGAGTTTCGCAGAACAGGAAGAAATGCTATGCAGACCAATTTTATGGCCCTAAGCACCAGGATGTTTACCTAATTTCGAGTCTCCTGGGACCAGGTTCCCTGTATCTGCAGATAGTTCAGGTGGGCTCCCCAAGCTGTCCCCTAGGTATCTGTGAAGAGTGTTACAGCAGCATGGGAGGTTTAGGTTGGACATGAGGACAAACTTCCTAACTGTCAGGGTGGTTAAACACTGGAATAAATTGCCTAGGGAGGTTGGGGAATCTCCATCTCTGGAGATACTTAAGAATAGGTTAGATAAATGTCTAGCAGGGATGGTCTAGAGACAGTACTGGGTCCTTGCCATGAGGGCAGGGGACTGGACTCGATAACCTCTCGAAGTCCCTTCCAGTCCTAGTATTCTATGATTGCCTTCTCCCTCTGCTTTCTCACTGGTCTATTCCCAGTGTCCAATTTTTCAGCTACTGAATTTCTCTACACCTGAATTTAAACCTTCTTTGATGTTGCTGAAACGCATTACCTGTCTTGTCACATTTGACTGATGAAGACAACTAACTTCTATTGTCTCTAAAGCATCCTTTTACATGCTCACAAAATGTTTCTTTGAGCACCTGTCAGCCATCTTAATCTTTTGTTATATATCTTATTTCTCTGGAGTTAAACTATTTTAGCTGTCCTTTCCTGAATTGTCTCCAATTTGTCAGTACTTGTTCTATAATATGTCCAAAACTGAATAAAATATTTCAGCTGTGGTCTCTCAGATGCAATTATTAAAGACAGAGGTCTCTCTGATACAATTATTAAATACAGCCATAGTTTTTGAATTAACAACTTTCATCTTCCATATTAAATCTATTACTGCATATGCCTTTTAATGGCAGTGAAGTAAAAAAATTGTTTACCAAGTGTCCTTCTTGCCTATGCTGTACAACTTAATAAAAGCAAATATAAAATACAGTAGATGTTGGACCAGACTCTTACTCTCCTCCTTCTAGCTGCTTTCACTAGACAAACCAAATCACCACTGAGATTCCCCTGAAACACATAAAATACACATAGTCCTAAGGGGCCATTATAAGCCAGCACAAATTAGGTTGCTCTGACTTGTGCTCCTGCTGATTTGTTCCCTAACACCACCCAGAAAGAGGGCCAAGGAGGAGTGAAAGAAAATTTGGCTTAGAGCCACACACATCCCCTTCTACTCAGATGTGCTGAGCTCTTATCTAATATAGCCGAAGATTTAGATCATTATAATTTAATACTCTCCCTTACATTCAACCTATTAAAAGCTGACCAAGAGGGTAAAAGTGTAAAAATAAGGACTGGGAAAGGCTTAGAGAAAAGTTAAAGAAATCAATATGGGGTCGGCACTACTCATGCTAAGGACACATCAGGAAACTGAAAAATTATAACTTTTTTTTAAGTGTGGGGAAAACTAAACCTGAGATGAATTTCAAGGAGCAAATTTCACACACTTCTCTGATCTATACAGAAAAAGGCACAAGCAGATGTTTCATTAAGACTAGGTAACAGGATGGATGGTGGTGTCTGAGCATAGATATCAACTAAGACAAGGTCTTGAATATAGTTTGCACTATTCAGGCTTAAAAAGTGGTTAGTGACAAATATAAATATTGTGAAATCATTCACAATTTTTTATTAGCTTTAATTCCCAAAGATGTATTTATTTCTTCCACACTAATATGCATCCAAAAATTTTCCACCTATTCTTGCTCAATTTCATACATTTCTGCCCAATTAACAACACTTGCAACTTGTTCAATGATAACTTCCCTTTTAAGTGTCCACAATTTTCTATTGCCCATTAATTTAATTAATCTGTTTTCTACTATTTTTTCAAGTCATAAATATACTAAATATTGTTATGCACTCCTTTAACCTATATGACACCACTACTTTCCAAGCAGACAGTGAACCAAGCTCCAGTTGTTGTCAGTGGACCAGAGTGTGAAATCAAGCTAATTTTAGAGCACTGCAATTTCATGTATTTAAATGGAGATTATTCCAATTTACATCCATGCAACAGAACAGAATTAAATACTGTTTGGTTTTCTAACCAAAGCTGTAACCATTTTACAGTAATTCTAAACAAACCATATTTCTCAATTTTTCCTATAACAACAACATATAATTCACTTTATTAGTAACCATCCCATTGTACTGTCACCTTGCTCAAACTCACATCTGCATTTGCAAAAATGAGCCACAGCTATCTGCATTCACATTTGCAGATGAGCACAGCTGCAGATATGGAGTTGCAGGGCTTTACTTATGAAAGGTAGTAGTTCAGCACTTGGACATGAAACTCATAAGAAACTCCCTAGCGCTGCAGAAAGTGTTGAGTTTCATCATTACAAAATCAAAGAATTAAGTTTCCAGTTTCATAGCAATATTTGACTTGAAATTTTAAATCAGTTTCAACCAGAAATTCAACCTACTCAATCAAAACTCATGAATCATACGAATCACCATTCCTGAGGCAAACACCTCTTCTCGTCTTTCTCCATGAAATGACCAAAACTCCAACTGCTGTAGGAAGTTGGCCCATTTAAAGATAAGATCTCACCTACTTTCTCTTTTTGATATTCTGGAACTAACAGAGATTCAACTAAACAAATATGCCAACATGTTTTCATCTGTTTGCAGGGAAAAAGCCTCTCAATTCCCCAATACCATACATTAAACCGGAAACTGAACAACACTGAATAAATATACTTCAATCTCAACTAAAAATTAAATCTTCAGTCTGGCGAACAGCTGAATAAGTACATAAAAAGGGCACTAAACTATTTGGAGATGCTTTGTTTATTCAAGCTTCACAAAACAAGTTAGACCCAATGAAACACAGTAACAACTTTAATAATGTTATATGCGGGCAAAGAGATTATTTTATGAAAATACATATAGTTTAAGATAAGAATTGCAGCCCCAGAATACTGATATATTTTAGACCTTAAAAGGGCTTAAAGCTTCCATTTGCTATCAACTCAACATCTCAAAAAAATTTCTATGCCAAATATTTTCAGCACATCCCAGAGAACACTTGTTTTGACTTTTAACAATAATTTTTTGTCAAAAATATGCAGTGTTGAATGCAGAATGTCATCATCTTCCCATATACTACAAAGAGGCTCAGTATAATAAAGTGTATTGAAATTATGCCAAGAAAAATCAGCCTTTTATAATCCAACTGGCAAACTCTCAAACCACAGATAAAGTCTAAATCACCAAGGAGGAGAACACTTGTTTTGACTTTTAACAATAATTTTTTGTCAAAAATATGCAGTGTTGAATGCAGAATGTCATCATCTTCCCATATACTACAAAGAGGCTCAGTATAATAAAGTGTATTGAAATTATGCCAAGAAAAATCAGCCTTTTATAATCCAACTGGCAAACTCTCAAACCACAGATAAAGTCTAAATCACCAAGGAGTCATGTTTAAGATACACATAGTGGTACTCTAGGGGGAAAAAAGCTAAAGAATTAAAGTAGCTTTTATCCCCATTCAACTGGTGAGGGGGGAAATTGCAGTATACATTTTAGGAGAGAGTACACTAGGGCTATGTCTACACTGCAGGCTTTTTGCACAAGAACAACTGTTCTTGCACAAAAATTTGCCAGGTGTCTACACTGCATGCATGTTCTTGCGCAAGTAAATTTACAGTACAGTGTCGGAAAACGGGGTTTCTTCTGGAAGAGTTATTCCTCTCCACATGAGGAATAAGCTCTCTTGCACAAGAGCTCTTCCACAAAAAGGCAGTGTAGACAGGCAACATGATTTTCTTGTGCAAGAAACCCTTATGGCTAAAATGGCCATCAGAAGCTTTCTTGCACAAGAGAGCGTCCACACTACCATGGATGCTCTTGCGCAAAAGCACACGGCAGTGTGGACGTGCTCTTGCACAAAACAGTTCTTGCATAAGAAGCCTACAGTGTAGATGTAGTCTAAGAGATTGAACTTTCTGCCTAAATCAAGAACTAATTATGGACATCTCTTGTGGTGAAAATAAAACCATTTCCAAGGGAATTTTGAAAGCCTTTTGGTTATAAAAACTAGAAATTACTCCCCTACTTGAAGGCTCAAGAATGACAAATCTAAAAAGCCGGTCACCCAGATCTTTTGAGAATTTTATCCCTAGGTTATTAGGAACTTTGTGATCACCTTAAATAATTGTATTTTGTTTTTGTTATTTAAATGAATATTCACACTCAATTTCTTTCTCTATTTTTAGTGAGCATGTGTCATTAAAACTGCTTGCAGACCCTTTGAAAAGCTTGTCTCCAGAGTCAGGAACTTTCCCTAGCTAAGATAAGGTTACAGATATCCTTTATAACATATAACCTTTTAAAACCATACACAAAATGGTGCATCTTGCCATTGCATTACTAAGAAGGGTTTCTTGGGAACTGATGTCATACCATGGGCATGATATTCCACTTATACATTTAAAACAGATTTTTGTATTTTTGAAGTACAAAGAAGAAATATATATATTGTTGATGCTTTGAAAATGCCGCCATAAACCTTTTAAATCACATTTGACACTTCTTGGACAGATCTCTGAGATAAAGGAAACAACACCACCTGTAACTTCATTTGTACTCAAAATAAAATATTTTAAAAATATCAGTATCATATTGCAACCTTTTTAACAGTGCTAAACTAATTAAAATGATTAAACACAATGTGTCAGACAAAATAGCTGTGAATGTAATAAAACAGTCTTTTTTTCTGCTAAATTATATGTATTTTACCACTGTTAAAAATGATTTACAGTGATATTTATGGAAAAACTTAAAAAACAACGAACTGTCTAGCAACACCTTAAAGACTAACAAAACACATGGGCTACATCTACATTGGCCCCTTCTCCGGAAGAGGCATGTTAATTTCCAACTTCAGAATAGGGAAATCCGCGGGGGATTTAAATATCTCCCGCGGGATTTAAATATCCCCCGTGGGATTTAAATAAACATGGCTGCCGCTTTTTCTCCGGCTTGGGGAAAAGCCGGAAAAAAGCGTCTAGACTGGCGCGATCCTCCGGAATAAAGCCCTTTTCCAGAGGATCTCTTATTCCTACTTTGAAGTAGGAATAAGAGATCCTCCGGAAAAGGGCTTTAACCCTACTTCAAAGTAGGAATAAGAGATCCTCTGGAAAAGGGCTTTATTCCGGAGGATCGCGCCAGTCTAGACGCTTTTTTCCGGCTTTTCATTTTTAAATGAAATTGGAAATTAACATGCCTCTTCCAGAGAAGGGGCCAATGTAGACGTAGCCATGTAGATGGCATTATGAGCTTTCGTGGGTACAATCCAAAGTTTGTTAGTCTTTAAGGTGCTGCTACACCATTCGCTGTTTTTTAAGTTTTTCCAGTTACAGACTACCTCAGCTACCCCTCTAAAGCTAGTGACATTTATGTCTTTTAAAAATGCACTGTACATTCTATAGAGCATCTTAATTTACCAAAAATATCCAAGAGCTGACAAATCCGGGAGAGGGAGAGAGGCACAGAGAGAAACAGACCAATGAACACTTCTAGATATCATTTTTGGTTAAACACTTCCACAGAAATTCATGAGTTAAAGAGTTGAGGCGAAATCCTTGCTCTACTGATGTCAAAAGGAATTTTATCATTAACTTTAACAAGAGGCAGGATTTCACTGAGAGGATGAGAATCCTTCTCTCTGAGCACCATGGTTTTTATATGCAACTCAGGTGCATGGTGTTAATGGTGTGATTACTTCTTTTTTTAAAGCTTGTTGTGAGTAACTGAGATATAATTAGCAATAGTATCTGTTGCTCTTTGAGCATCCACAGCGTCGGCTATTCTCAGCATACAAATGTTTGACCTTTCAGCCAAGGACTATTCAGCATCATGGCTTCCATAGTCCCCAGCTAATTTGCTTCATTTACTCTGACAGTGACTCTGTTAGTCTTAAAACTTCAGGAAAGGCAAAACTTCTGCACACACTAAATGAGTTCATGAATGGAAATATCATCATACCTTGATTCTAAATTCCAGCTGGGAGTTAATTGTGTACATCATTTCTGTCCTTTCCATTTTTTGTGCCCCTTCGTTGCATAAACGGACCAACTAGAATAAAAAAGAAAAAAAAATGTCCCTGCTTTAATGCATTTAGATATTGCATTACTAGCTTTAAAACACACACACACACACACACACACACACACACACACACACACAAAACAGGGACACTTTTCTGTGAAAATGCATACCACTGAGGCAGCAAAAAAATAATCAAGAAATTGATATTTTTATAATAATCCACCAAGACAATTATTCCACGTAGAGTTAAAGTAGTGGCATAAAGTACCTAACTCAAAAGGGTTGCAGATATTCAGCCCAAAATTTTAACAGGCACTCAGAGAACATAAATTCTAACTTTGCCAAGCAAACACCTTGTGCAGCTGTGACCTAATGGTATATATTGCCTTTACAACCGCAGACATGCAAATTGCTTATTGAAGGATAATATTAAGGCAAGGTAGGTACTCTTTTGGCAACCTAACGAAGGCAATATTTTAGAAAAATATTCAATCATAGTTTATGTGCCTTAGAATGGAATTTGAAAATTTGTTACATTCTTCAAGAGACCTAAAAAAAGGAAGATTAGACACCCAGATATGTTAAAATGGAGAAAAAAAAACTCTTTAACCCCCTTCCATTGGCTTTCCAAAAGTCAGTGTGCCCCTTCCTTCTTGTTTCTCACTTCCTGGAAGGGAAGAGATATGTCTGAGCAATAGCATACTATATTGAGTCACTTAGTTCCCAGATCCTTCTTCCACTACCACAGCAATTCAATGAAAAGCATAGCTAATGTACTGAATACTAACATCATGACCTCTGCTAATTCCTGCCAGTGCTGAGTGGTGGAGAGTAGGATGAAAATAGGAACACAACCAATTAAGTCTATCTGTGTAGCCTTCTCTAAGCTAACTTGCAGCACCAAAAGTCTAAAGGACTAAGGAGCTATCTAGCTTCTCTGATAGGGGGGGAAAGCTTATCTTTAGTTTTACTTTAATTGTTTTTGTGCATAGAGGAAGAAGAAAAGTTAACAAGTTGGGCTGTTATATTTTTAGTGCATTTTACATATTCTGTTGCACTCAACTAGGCAATGAATTCAGTGCAACAGATGAGTAATTTGAAGAAGATGAGGACAAAACCTTTATACACAAGGCTCTAAAGTGTCCTTCCCAGTGGGGAAAAAAAATTGTAAAACATTTTTCTGCAGGAGGAATTTTATTATACAGTTAGATACAGTGATAAGAGTCATTTTTGGGGATAGATAGTAGCATCCAGAGAAAGGGTACAGACAATATCAGACAGGCAAATTCTCCTCCCCCATCTGCTTTTCAGACAGACCACCACATGCAGTTCCCACAATAAAATTCAAGTGTGTTGGCAGCAGTATTGTATTACCGCAGCAGTTCAGAATTTTTCATGAGAAACAGAAAGAGAATGATTTAAAATGTAAAGCTGATCTGTCAGTGACTGTTCCTGAATAAAGCAATTTAGCATTTTCATCCTTCATTATGCTTCCGCTTTAAGAGAAAAATTGGCAATTTCCATGCATAAATAATTTAAATGAGACAGGAATGCAGGGCCTAAGGCAGTGTCTAGCCCTAACATGCAGGGAACCTGATTTCTAATAGGGGGATGTCCAATCCATCAAATTTAATGATATTCAACTGTGTACCGCAGGGCTTCAAATTCTAAGATCTCAGAGGCTAGTTTCTAACATTTCCATTTCAAACTTTCTCCTTATTTCAAAAAGATTTCTAGGCCAACAGTGATTTTACAGAGTTTCCATTGTGAAGCTGGAAGTTGCCACCGATGCTAAGTTCTGAAGCCTCATTATCAGCTTTAAAGGAAATATGTTGGAGGTTACTGCAGAATTAATGATGGGCAATATCTATGATTTATGAATTAATGGTTTGCTCCTCTATTGTTGTGTTTAATGAAGAAGCACTTGTTCCATGCTGGAAAGAGATTTTCAATATGGCTCTTATAGACTGGAATGGTTTAATTTTTAAGCTCTCCAGTGTTTTAAAATTCAAATAGATGACATTTTCTAGGCTGTCTCTGTTGTACCACTTTCTTTTTGGGAGGAGGGGGAGGCAATGATGGGGAATAGAACCAAGTTGTCCAATTTCATTATGAAATTCATGATCAGAGCAACTAACGAGGGAGGCAAATATATCAAATAAGTGGTTATTTTTTAAGAAAGCTAAAGCCCATTTGGAAAAATAAAAGTGAGCATGTTTCAGATTAGCATAGAGAACTGGCCACAGTACCCCACATAACTGAAGAAAAGAGTCAAAATGGAAGTAAGTCAGCTGTATAGAATTTGCTTTTTAGTAGCATACCTTGCTCACTTCTTTTAAGGCTCGTTTGCAGACCTCATATTTTGGTGATTCTTTTGGGGTTTTCTGACAGATGGTCTGAAATAAAAGTCAACCAATTCAGAGAACTGAAAACTAGATTGTTACACCTAAATCAGATGAATGCAGAACTACAATACAATTAATAGAATAAAACACAGAGGGGCACAGCCCTGCTCTGGTGGCAACATGGAAGCATATTTTCCTACTAACCAAAGCTCCTCTGTGAAAATGGGGTGCATACCCACGGATGTACTCTCCTGGGAGTGCAGCATACCAATATCAATGTATGGTTTTATGCAAAGGCATTAGGTAAGCCATGGACCTGCTTGGTCAGAGCATTGTGTTTTCCCAAAGGTGCAAGACAGAGCAGTGCTCGTGCTTCCTTTCAATTGCCTCTGACCTTCATGAAGACCATACAGCTTTTTCTGACAGCTGGCTAACCATGTGCAATAACAGCCCACTATGCCTGCTCCTTCTGTGGAACATCTTACCAATTGCTCTTAGTGCCAGACTTATGTGAAGAGTATGCAGCAGAAGAGGTTAGCAGTGGTATTAAAACAAAAAGCCAAGACAATCATGGACTCAAACAGAGACAGCACAAAATAACAAGGGTTTAATTTGGTGTCTGAATGAAATGACAATTTCACATGTTGTTCGAGTTTATTTGCATTAGTTGGTTATGTAAATAAAGTTTGACCAAAAGATATTGATAATAATGATGGAGGGCTCAATTATGTTTTTGGTAAAGTATCACAAATACAGTAAGACCTTTAATGTAAAAGCATTCTTCAGGTGAAATTATGTTTTTACAGTTGGAATGTAAAAAAACGCATACTTCCCATATTACGGTTTAAGTGAAGCAATGAAAACTCACTACAAAATTTTTTTTAAAGTTTAGAAAATTATCTCCTAGAAAAAAAGCCGACAGTTTCATAATTTTCCATTCTGTTTAGCTTGTTAGATGCTTTTATTTCTGTAGAAAAAGGGTATCCTGAATTTAAAGAGTTAGTTTGGAATTTTTTTTAAACAAAAGCAGGGATTTATTAACAGTAGAGCATGTTCCATATGCCATGATGTACAAACTAACTACTCTAGATATATAAAGTATATTAAACAATCACTGTCAAGTACTGAACACATCCCCACAGTTATTGCAAGAGTCATGATTATAGAAGAGACTAACCTACATAGATCTTGATCTGGGTACTATTAAAGCCAGAATTTGGGTGTGGGTTTTAATCCATACCATTGGCAGCAGCACAGATCACATTCAGTCCTGGCATCCAAACCAAATGAGACAGACCTCATGAGTACATATGTTGCCATCACATTTCCACATCCACTTCCTAGCATTCCCTCTCTCTATAGGCTCTCTGCGTCAATCACTGCAGCTCTCAGTTGGAAGGGAGCACCCACATACCCCTTTAGTGGCTGCCCCGTTGAGGGAACAGGAGCAATTACTAAAACCATAAGCTAAGGATCAGATTGTGACCCCCTTAATTTTCATAGTCTTAAAAACTATTCCTGTGAGAAAACGGGGGTGGGGGGGGGAAGGAGGGAAGAGGGAGAGGAGGTTGCACAGCCTGGTCCTAAAGGAGCAGTCCTTTAGTCCGCATGGCAGAAAGCCTATGTTCTGAAGAACCAGGTTCTAGGCTCAATTCTGTATGTGTGCAACTTGTACAGTGCTTGGGTCTTGATTTTTTACAGATGTCCAACTGCTGAACTTGAACTTCCAAATAATTCCTTGGTTACTGCAAATAAACCACAATTTCTTCTTTGCACATGACAGACCCGTTTATTCAGCCATGACCTCCGTCTAAACAAGGTGAGGCTGAAACAGGCCAGTAATTAAAACAAAACAAAAAAGAAAGAAAGGTTCCTTAATTTCCAAGGACACAATATACACAGAAAAAATATATTTCTTTGTTCTCACATCCATCAGCAATGGAAGGCGTGTAACCCTCTGCATTGGAAGAATGAGGAAAGAGATCATAGGTAAATTCCGGCAATCTTCATGGGACTCAATCCGTGACAGAACTTCTTTGAAGGCTGGTTTTGTAGCTCTGAAGAAAAAGAAAAGGGTTTTTAAAAGATTTGCTTTAATTTAGAAATGTGAATTTCTCTTTTCACAATTTCATAGTTATATTTGGAAACATTATACATTATAACTGATATTGAGAGACATCAGTACATGCACTAAAAAAACAACAACAAACAATGCAATGAATACAAAGGGGAAATATAAAAGCATTGCAATAAAGAAACTAATGAAAGAGTTCTTATCAATGGGGACAATTTAGCACATGGCTGCAAACAGGACTGGACTCGACAGGAAAGCATATTTTCACCCTCAATTACATCAATGGAATTAAACATGTGCTTCAAAATATAAGCATATGTTGAAGTAATTTGCTGAACTGGAGCCTTAATGTTTTGCTTCAAGTAATCCTGATTCGCTATGGTTAAGGGGATGCTTTTAAAACATGCATTTTAAGCATTATTTCTTACAATAGTTTCTGGAGCGTTCGCTGTTGGTACACTTCATTAGTACAATATTTCACGTATGGGTCAAATGTTGATGCAGTATGCTTTTCAACAATATCACTAATGTCATCTATGACGATGTTGCTCTGATGCCTTGCTTCAAGTTCTTTAAAGAACCTGCAAATGTAGAGAAGCAATTGTCAATTTCACTAAACACAATTCATGATGATTTTTTCTCTTGCAGCATTTCAAACTTCATTAGATATGACACAGGATCATTTCACAAAGCTTTTAGCCACAGAAACAAACAAGGGGAAAACACAGGGATAATTTGAGAAACTTCAGGACTCTGTAGAGGAGGAAGAAATTAACTGACCTGAAACCCTCACCCTATAGGCTCAATTGTGCAGGTATTTCTTGCGCAATACACGTAAAGGAAATATGGTATAACCTGTCAGATTTCAGCTTAAGCAATGCTGGCCAGAAACAGTTTCTATTTTTCAGAAAAAATCAAAACAGAAAGAGTACTACTAGTAGGGTTGCAATGGCACTTTTCAGCAGTACGTCTGAAAGGGAACTGAAACAACCTGAAATACACCACCTATTGATTCTATGAGTAGTGAATCTTTTCTTCTTGAAGTAACGTATGTGCAATAGCATAGCTGCAACAATAACTGGAAAACTTCACATCAACTTAAAGACAACTATAAACCTCAAATGAAAATTCAATTAAATTGCTGGCCGATGTGCCGAATTACCCAGTGAACAAGCAAAGTTCCTATTTTACTACAACTAGAGCACATACTAAATGCTCTACACCATTCAGCTTACCATTAAAGTCAAACCCAGAAAGGAGATACTGAATACTAAAACTAAAGGCTGGCCTAAACTACATTACTAAGGGGTATGAAAAATTCACTCCAGAGACACAGTTAAATCAACTTAACCCCGGTATAGATACTGCTGGGTTGACAGTAGAATTCTTCCAAACTAGCAAACCCCTCTCAAGAGAGTGAATTTACTAGAAGGTTGGTGAAACCCCATCTATCACTGTAGCAAGTGTCTACACTACAGTACTGTGCCTATTGACAAAGCTGTTGAATGATATGGTTATAAAAACACATTCAAGTATTGTCTCCCAAGCAGTTTCTCTCTATTGATGGGGCAGTCTTTCCTGGCTATAATGACCCATCTCCACTTCTAAGAGGCATAATCTCCTTGGAAAGCCTCAACCCCTTCCCCTTTCATTTCAAAGGACAAGATCATGTAAATTATCAGTGATCTGTATTATATTAAGTACTGTCCAATGATTTGTAGAAGAATGTGGTTGGGTGTTACTGACTTACTCAACGTGAACTGGTGGTTTGGAAAAAGAGTCTCTGGGGTCCCACAGCAAATCTATTGCAGAGATAAGGGAAGAATGCTGTCTTCATAATTCAACCCTCTAGTCCATTCTGCCTCATGCAATCAAAGCATTTACTCTTTGTTCATAAAAAGACTTTCACTCCAAATGCAAAAAGTGTTAAATCAATAACCTATAGAACACTGAAATGCTTAGAAGTTACTGTTGCTGCTGTAAGGACACTAAAACTCCTCTTCTCTCCAGCTCAATGGTAATTTAATAAGAAGGAATGCAATCAGAAACCCAACAACAACAGTAAGTTGGCCATTAAGAGTATACAGTGAAGTTGCTTTAACTATCATAAAAGGTTTGCCAAAGTTCAGGATTAAAAAAAAAACCCAAGACTTTAAAGGAAGTAACTGTTTTGCACTTTATTTACATGCTGGTTGTTTAAACCATATTTTGTTTTGTCTGTCAATACGTGGATTCAATTTTCTCTTACCCTGGAATCCTCACAGAACATTTTGATAATTTTATCCACATTAGTTAATGATCTACAGTGACCAGAAATGGTGCAGAATGTTAAACTGAAACTTGCTTAGAATACAGCAATACAATAACAAATTTTAAATGAATCTGTGTATGAAGGCTACTGAAACAGCTGTAAATTCCACTGCATGTGGAAAGGCACTGATTTCCAAAGCCAACCTCGCAATCTGAAAGGATTTACAAAACCTTGCTTCCTATTTCCAATGTGCCACTGGTCCACATAACCTAATATATGTTGAAGACCAGAGCAATTTGAATGCCTATGACCAATGCTTTTTTATAGCTCGGTTACTTTCTTTCTTTTTGAACAACTTTTGTGGACTGAAAGCCTGATCCTGGCAAGGTACTGACTAGTCCCAGCTCCCAATCAATTCAGCCAGGTGTTTGATACTACTTAGCTCTTTGGATCATCAAGTCCCAGACCACAAAATACACAGCAGCCAAAACCGTCCAACAGCTACAGGAATCCAACACACATATCATTTATATTGTGCTAGCAGCTAGTGCGATAAAAGACACTGAAGAATCCTTTACGCTTTGGAATACTTTGATGTACAGCCAGTCTCTAGCCCATTACCACCATGAAACAAAACTTTCCAGTGAAGATCTTGGCCCCACATGGCTCTCATCCCGCCACCATCTCAGCAGAAATAGTTTTGCTTCATGAAGTTACATTTGCAACGTATTTGTTTTTAAAAATCCATAACATTTCCACCCTTTACACAGTGATATTTGTTAGATAGATGATCTTTAAAACACATAAAAGATATCCCTACTATGTTCAAATGTGTTCCTGATAATTGAATGCCTGGTTTTAGAGCAATAAAAAAAAAGTGTCAAGTATGTACACCTTTGAGGCTATAAGGATTTTGCCAGCCAACCTCTGAGAGCCTTTCCAGGAATGTTAATATCCAAATTCTTACAGAACATGCTAACTTAACTGCTGCTGATGTCATAAATTTGGGCACCTTCCATACATGTACTTGAGGGCTTGATGCCCTAGTCAGGCATGATGCCCTAGTCAGGCATGAGCTGGTTCATCTAGGAGTGTACACTTTGAGATAGCACAGAATCAGGGTTAGTTTCTATGGAAGACCCAAAAAGTAGCCCTCATGGTCCCATTGTTCAAACACCTGGGGATGACTTTAGTGGGACTACTCAGGAATAAGTACTAACCTTATTATTAAATGTGTAAATAAAGTGTATGGTTATGTAATTAAACATGTCATAATGCCTATACAATCTGTTCTGCCAGCCTTAACTCTCACATTTACTAATTTCTGAATATTTGACTTTCCAACCATAACATCCTTTTACTGTATATTTTGTGGATAGATAATACTACATAGGATTAAAAGCTGTTTTAATTTTACCACTTCCAGCTATTTTAGATTTTTACTGCAGTAACAAAACCCCCAAAACTAATACATGGCACAATACAGTAGTTAGCAACTTTTAAACTGTTTTTCTTATCCAAAAATATCTGATTTTCTTAAGTATTGCTTATAATCAATGTAAGTGGCAATAAAAGGAAGAGAAGAACAGTACTTTTAATCTAGAGATACAATGGTATTGGGCAGCAGGGGAAGAAATGCTAACAACTGTTTGTATCAAAATTTAATTCTAGTAAAAAAAAACCCACACAATATGAATGGTCTGAACTGCATGGATGTTAGCACAGCAATAAAAGACTTCTTGTTTACAGGCAGTCCCTAGGGTTACGTACAAGATAGGGACTGTAGGTTTGTTCTTAAGTTGAATTTGTATGTAAGTCGGAACTTGCATCCAGATTCAGCCGCTGCTGAAACTGACCAGCGGCTGACTACAGGAAGCCCAAGGCAGAGTTGCTCTGCCCTGGGCTTCCTGGAATCAGCCGCTGATCAGTTTCAGCAGCAGCTGACTTGGGGGTGCTTTGGGGGCGCCTGGGGCAGAGCAGCTGGGGTGCTGCCGGGTTGGTCCAGTAGCGCCCAGAGCGGCGATTCGGGACCAACCGGCAGCGCCCCAGCTGCTGTACCACAGGCGTCCGGAGCAAAGCCACGGAGCACGGGGGGCAGCGGGACAGCCCAGACGCGCCGCGGCTGTCCTGCTGCCCACGTGCTCCGCGGCTTTGCTCCCCGTCTCCCTGGTCTGCTGGAGACCAGCAGACCGGGGAGACGGGGAGCAAAGCCGCGGAGCACGTGGGCAGCAGGACAGCCGCGGCGCGTCTGGGCTGTCCGCTGCCCGCATGCTCCGCGGCTTTGCTCCCCGTCTCCCTGGTCTGCTGGAGACCAGCAGACCGGGGAGACGGGGAGCAAAGCCGCGGAGCACGTGGGCAGCAGGACAGCCGCGGCGCGTCTGGGCTGTCCGCTGCCCGCATGCTCCGCGGCTTTGCTCCCCGTCTCCCTGGTCTGCTGGAGACCAGCAGACCGGGGAGACGGGGAGCAAAGCCGCGGAGCACGTGGGCAGCAGGACAGCCGCGGCGCGTCTGGGCTGTCCGCTGCCCGCATGCTCCGCGGCTTTGCTCCCCGTCTCCCTGGTCTGCTGGAGACCAGCAGACCAGGGAGACGCGGAGCAAATCCCGTTCGTAACTGCGGATCAGACATAAGTCGGATCCGCGTAACTCGGGGACTGCCTGTACTTAGTGTAGGTTCATACAAGTCAGTCACAGAACTCTGTTTTGTCATCCACATAGCCAGAAATGCAGCTCAACACCTTTGCTCTGAAAATGATTTAGAGCACCATTTAAGGATAATATAGCAGATCAGAAACTCATGCAATAATTCAAAACTGTAGCACCATGACATTATTTCTTCTAAGATTAAGACAGGCCAGGTATTTTATTTCTTGTCTTGCAATTTTTAAAAAATGGCTTCTTTGTTAAATACAACAATGAGTTCTTGGCACCATCCCCATTTGACCTTTTCCAAAAGTTTCTAATATCAGAAAGAAGATATTCAAAATTAGTACGTGCATTTAATGAACAGAAATACACTTTAAAGACAAGGTTGCATAAAATTAAGAGCGAATTAAACAGGGACTGAGAAGATACCAAATAGAAAAGGGTTACGTGGCCCAGGAAATTTGTCATTTGAAAATTTAATCTAAATGTTGCATCACTGCTTTATCATTTTCCGTTAGTATAATTTTCAACTGCAAAATAATTCTGAATTGAAAGACTGAGTATGCAGATATGGACAATGATACTTAAAACTACAAAATCCAATCCAAACAGACTTTTTACTTTGAGATTTGGGAACTTCCCTCCAGATTTTACATCAGAGTTAAGGGGAGGGGGATGGGAACCTAA